AATACTTAGAGTTTTTCTATATATATTTAATTGTGAGAATGGTTCTTTCAGAATCAACAATCATTATTTGACAGAAGAAAATGTCAAGCAAATTAAATAAAGAGAATTTTTAGTTATAGTTTATATTTCGAGTATTAAACGAAAAATATTAATGATACTATATTATATTAGGTATAGTAAAAAGAAATTCATTATTTTTCCATTCAATTTCATGCAAAAATAATGGATTTCTTTTTACTACATCTAATATATGTAATATTAATATATGTAATATTAAATGACACAATTAAAAAAAAAAATAAAATTTGTAAAATTTTTAAGATAGCAGATAATCTCTTCACATGAATTCAAAATTAATTTAATTATTCTTCTTACAAATATATTTATATCTAATAATATATAAAAGAATTAAGAATCATCAATTTGGATTAAATAAAAAATTAAGGAAGAAAAAGCAGCTACTATTTAATATGAATTAAAATGCGTCTTTAATTTTCTAAATTATAAAATTTTGTGTGATTTCTTTTTATGAATTATTATCTTAAAAAATCAGTATTGGAACGAAAAAAAGGCGATCGATACCGGATCTTATGTCCTGGCAGATTAACAAGTTACATGTTCTAGATAAACAAACTGCTCATATACGTAGTTGTATTACGATGTAGTTATATTACGATTTCCGCAATGCGGAAAATGCGGTGCGTCGAGGATGTGTTCGTAGCTATGACACAGAGCCATTTCCAGGGAAATTCGCTAAGAAATTTATACATAAGGAACACCGTGCGCGTTCTTGGCAGCAATATTTTGAATAATTTGAGAACGTTCCAGCGCATGCAGCTTATGAATTTAGAATACCTTCGAAGCTCCCTACCTCTCTCTTTCTGCAAAATAATCTAGTGTGCATGCACATTTTGATTCTATCCATTATCGAGCGAGGTTGAATAAAACGATGCTGAACATCTCCGTCTCTTTAAATATATAAATAACGCTGTCACTTTGTTGCGGAATGACAACGTTATCAATGTTGCGAATCTCTCGATTTTTCTAAAGCAGCGAGAGGAAGAGAGAAAGAAAGAGAGGGAGAGGAGAGAGAAAAGAAATTACCTCTCCCGTAGAGAACTGCATTTCTCGCGGTAGTTTTCCAACGATACTATGCGTCCCGCCCCGACACCGTTTCGCTGGGCAGGCAAGAAGAAGAAGTCGAATGTCGCCGTGACTAAAACGAGGCGCTCACTCCCGCACGACGGTATCACGTGTGTGATGTGAGTCCGCCGCGGGTCGGCGACGCTCGCGAGCCCTCGCGCGGCCCATCAACGGCGGAAGAGCGCGAGAATCGAGATGCGCGTGTCCGCCCCCTCGTGCCTCCCCCGTCCCGTCGGGTGGCCGGAGAACGGACGAGAATCGCCTCCACGGTGGCACAGCACCCTCATGCCACTCCGCTCCCTTTCTGCCGACGCCGACGCCGATGCGCGTTCCTCCCGGCGCCTCCAACGCGCACGTCTCTGGAGCGCCTCTCCGCCGAGAGACCACAGCGATGAGCAGACCCCGTCCCCAGTCTTCATTTTCAGGGACATCTACTGATCTACGTCAGACGAACCTCAATACCCCTCCGTGCGTCGATTTTGGAAGGACGGGTCGTGCTCTTTAATTGTTTGAATGAATTAAATTTTATACAGGCTCACATTTTTCTAAAAAAATATATTCAGTTTCTTTCTCTAAGCTTTTTTACAATTATTTATGAAATCACAAGATCTATACATAATTATTTTTCACACAAATTTCTTGTTATTATAGGTAAATGAAAATCTTAGAATGTCGAAGAGTATCCTAAAAAGAATTTGCCATCGATATTGGTTTTTTTCTCGAATCCTATATATAATATATTTCTCTAGCATTTTTTCGCTCGTTCTTACGATTCTTTTTATCTCGTAGTCCATTCCCTTTCCTAATTTCCTTTTTTTCGTTCCCCATATCTTAGATTCCATAATTATTCCATATATTAATCACACGCATCTATTTTTTAAATATATATATTTTTTTCAGTCATTTTTATTTTTCTAAAATAGAGAAAAGTGTAATGAAGAAAAAATAAGGGAGAGAAAAGAGAAAAATTTCTTTCTTTTAGAGACATAAAAATGACTGAAAAATTTTTCCTTCACTACTCTTATCTCTATTTTTTTTCTATCTTCTATGTTATTCTTTTGTAATTTTTTTCTCGATCTCCATTTATTCTAATGATACACGTTTTATATACATTTTATTTATTGCGATTATGTCCAATTCGAACGTGTCGTGTAATTCAGTGCATCGAAAGAATCAATAAATTGGATGCGCCGGCGCCTCGCAGAAAACGCTCAGAAACGGAAATATGCAGAAACCCTTGCAACATCGCGAATGCAAGAACATCTTGATTGCATGCTTGCAGAGAAAATCTTTAAATAAATTGAACCATGATTACAATAAAAAAACTTACATCTTACTATTATAACAATACTTGAAATACATGTTTTAACAAGAATTAGTATGAATTATAAATATTATGTTCTTTTTATTTCATGTATGTATCTACATTATGCAAAATGTGTCTATCAACAGTAATTTATAATTCTACTACATGTAAATTATTATAAATTTACTAAAAATTATTTTGCAATGTGTATTATGTGATGATCTAGATTTTATATTTTTAAATGTCAAGTATAAGATTCCACAAAAATTTAAGAGAAGATTAAGTCTAATCAATCTAAATTTGATTCTTCTAATTTAAAAACTTTCTAACACATTCTATAAAACAAATATACATTAAGCTCTTTGACTGAAATAAATATTTTCATAGAATAAGATAAATATAAGAATGTAAATAAACTGTACTTGCGAAATTAATACGTGGTTCAGTATGAAAGCAATTTATTCGCAATTGGCGGATCCTAAATTCGATCCTACTCCTAAAATCCTCAATTTTATAAGATTGTCAAAAGTTACAAATGTAAAGAAGTATATAATAAATGGTAGCTGGCTTCGGGAACCTATAATTCACAATTCATTTACACTTACATAAATTGACTTGTATAATATCAACCACATATCAGGGTAAAAATAAGTTACATTTATTTCAATATTACATAATGTTTCATTCCTAATATTACAAACGCAAACTAAATAATTCCTCTCGTGTTTTCTCACAATATACGTAATTGATAAATTGTTTTAAAAAAACAGACCTTCTCTATCGAGGAATAAAAAATATGAATGTATTTTAATCATGTAACGATATCCACCATTTCATAATGTGTTTTGTGAGTCCTTTCCTTTCAATGATATATTATCCATAACATATCATACATATTAAAAATCACGCATTAACCTGTTCGAGGCGCCAATATATGATTGCACGATGCTGAAATTTGCATCGCTCAGTGCTTCATATCTCTCTCCCAGGCCAATCTTAACATATTGCACTTATATCTAGTTTCTAGTATACTTGCCCCAGATATGAAGCATGAATACAGATGCAATGAATAAAAGGGACATTACTAGCACTGGCACAGGTCCCCTAAAACAAAACAATTTCAATATTTATTATAACATTTATTAAGACATATCATGTGAAGGCAAATTAATATTGTAATAGAGAATTAAAATGTTATAGCAAATTATATTATAACAGATAAATGCTTTAAAGAGTTTAATTTACTAATTTAAAATAAATTTTATTAATTGACCAAAGTATGGATAGCATTACGTTGATTACTGATTGATGGATAGCATTACTTTAATCAGCTGATTTATACTTACACTTTGATGCCAGGAGAGTCATCAGTATAGAACCTCCACATGCCACCGGAGCTTGTACCGGTATTCCTGTTCCTGGCGGAGGAGGTTACAGTGGTTTTCCTCTGTCTTACTGTACCACTACCACCTGTTCTTGGCGCTATGGCTTTGCTGGGTGATCGTCCAACAGATCCCACGGAAGTAGCGCTAGGTGCAGCAGGCTTTTTCCAAGAAATAAGAAATAAGAACACGCGTCAGTCTTCGTTAGAAAATAATTCCAAAATTATTATTCAAATTAATTATACTTACCATGGTCAAACTATTTTTATTGACAATCCAAGAGGATACTGAGAGATTCGTTCAAAAATTCCACTCGCGCTCGAAATACTTCAACGGTGCTTGCGTTGTAGAAATAGTGCTTCCGTAAAATACAGATTGTTTACAAGTTGAGACGCATGAACGGGACACTGGGAAGACAATTCGTCCTTTCTTCTTCTGATCACCTCTTTGTGCGAAACTCGACAGCAACGTGGCATCAAAATATATACTAACGTATCACTCGTCGAGCGATTCGAACGCAGGCTGGTGGTACAACGCAGAGTAGCAGGCGACGTGTCAAATGTATGCTCTACACGTGGTACGCAACGAACACGTCATCGTCATCGCTACGTTTGACATCCGCGAATCAGCGCGAATTACATTGGACAAAATATTACGTACGCCATATTTAAAAGTGCCTTTTCATGTCGATGTTTATTTTAAATGTCAAATATTAATTTTTTAATAATAAATTTATATATAATAAATATTGCTTCACCTCGCAGAGATAAGAATTTTTCACAAGCGTCCAATTTTTCATCATTCCCCCAACAACTTTCGCTGACATTTTTGACCCATAGAGCATAATGTTTATTATTTCGAGGAAATGCATTCATTACATAGCTCTTGGTTATCGAATTATTACAAAATGGGATTGCACACCTAATCATTTTTAATAATTGAATACAATGTGTATTTACGTACACGTTAGGTTAGAAACGCGTTAAGGTTACAGTACTATGCTGAAACGACCAATTAGAGCAGCTCGTGAAAATGTACCTTTAAACTTTAAATTTCAAGGGCGTCAAGTGGAATATAGTCTAGATATGTTCGACGTCATTGCCTGAAATGTATTTGTCTGTTGAATTTAAATAATAACAAATAATAATTCATAACAACTCATAAGAAAAATGGAGTCGGATGGTGAGTTATCTGAAAATGAAGAAGAAATGCTCATATATGTAGAATTTGAAGGGCTTACCGGTAACGAAATGTTCGATAATAAAGATCTTCAATTGGATATGATTGGAATAGATACTGAACATCCTATAATGGAAATTAATGGACGGGTATGCTGTATTTTATGATTTATAGAATTATTTATAGAATTTAATAAATGAAAAACGAAGTATAAATCATATTTAAACTTTGTAGCTTGTTTTTAGAATGCGTTTTTATTAATAAATGCGCATTTTTTTTGTTTCTAAAATTCTGTAATATATAATATGTAATGTCATGTACATGCTAAATGCACACTAATATCGTTATAAATGCATCCTGAAACTCGTGTTTATTTCCTTTTTAAGTCTAGTTTTTCATTATCTAGTTTAGACAAAACTATAGTTTAGTAATTAATGATAGTGTTATGTTTTCTTCGAAAGGAAAAATAGGACTCTTGTTTGATTAAGAGCTTACATTTAGTTAATATGGAATATAAAGAATTGTAATGTAAGATTATTATGTTTTCTTCGAAAAGAAAAACAAGATTCTTGTTTGATTAAGAGCTTACATTATAATATATATAAGGAATTATAATGTAAGATGAGAAAGAAAGCAGCTGAGAGTCAATTCACTAATCGATAGTTGCTAAGCAACTGTCCTCATGACTCCGTTCATGTCATAGACATCGATGTGGTAACAAATAGCTAGAAAAACAAAATTATCATCAAGTGAAGTTAGATCTAAATCTCACTCGATAATTTTGTTTTTCTATTAATCACTGCTCATTTCCACCAATAGTAGATTAATTTTAATTTCACTATTTCACTTCACTTACTCTTTGTCTTTTTCTAATCTTTAGAATTAGATTGGTGGAAATAGATATAAATCGATGGTTTTATTAAGGTAACTTTAAAAGTTACTAAAAAAAGCCATTAGCTTAACGATTAATAATAGCTAGAAATATATAATTTTTACATTATGACCAACTAGGCAATGAAATACTTTTATTGTTAGCAACTGAAGATGACTAAGTAAAGTTGAAATTCAATATTCTGTTATTAATTTATGACTAAGTTGAGACATTCTATTATTAATTAATAAAAAATTATTTTAAATTATTTATCTATATCAGGTGCTTGTTATTTTGACCTGTTTATCATTTATTTAAAAATACTTATATTTGAGAAAGAGTAGTTGTAAGACAATTATATTTTACGTTTTGTATTTCAACAGAACACATGATAATATTTTATATTTTGTATTTCTTAGGAACATATAAAAGTATTTTGTATTTTGAATACTAAGATTGACAATCGATTTTATTATTTAAATTACAAGATATATAAAACTTTCAATCTCTTGATTTTAAATACAAAATATATATTACTTTTATATATTATTTTGCTGAAGTATAAAATATAATATACTCTATACTATGTACTCTATACTCTATACTAGTATAAAATATACTCTTGTATTGCAAAAACCGTGTTTTAAATAGAAATATTTTTATTACATGCATTTTATTACATGTTCTCATCACCAAGTTAAATTTGACCACAATTAATTAAAAAATGAATCTTAATCATTTTGTACTTTTAGTTTTATGAGGGCACTTATGAAGACGCTGTAGGCACTTATATGTTCTTTGAGAAAGATGACAATCCAAAGGTGGACGATGAGGTATTCGATAAAGTGCCGACTCTAAAATATTCTGCTAAAACAAGGAAGTTACTTAAGATGCAGAGAGTGTTCACAAAACCAAGAGTCGAGGTCCTTGGTGATGCTGAACATGAGAGTTGTATTCCGAATGAAGAAATGTTAGCACAAGCTGGTGTGCCTCCAAAGTATCAAGAGGAAGGTAATGAACGAATTTCTTCAGTCTGCATACATTTTATTTAACATGAAAGCAATTTATTTTAGCCATACAGTTCTGGAATAAAGTACGTGATGAAAAACTAGAAGAATTAAGCATATTCTTGGAAAAACAGAAAATTAGAGAAGAAAAAAAATCCAAAGGTATTGCGTTGGATTCAGAGTCTGATGAGGAAAACCCCGTTGTACAAAAAACCAAAAAAAAATCAGAAGAAACATGAGAAAGTAAGATGTTTTAAAATTCTAATTAAAAATTTTAATATTTAGAGAGACATTCTTAGCGTAAGGATTGTATATTAATAACATAAAGTTGACGCAATAACATCAGTGCTTTGGATATTGAATTGGAAAGAGCAATTTTAAATGTAAATTAAATATTAATTTTTTGTTGCATCGCTAATTTTGTTTAATTTAACAATAGAATGTTTTATTTTTCAACTTTGTTCTCATATTTCTCAATCAATTCAATTTTATATCTCGTATATTTAGTATACATATATATATATATATATATACAT